GAAACTACAATGATTATGACAATCCTTAACAGTTGTGAGAATCACTAGTGCATGGAGAATATTTCTCCTTTGCTTATAGACATGAATATAAGAAGGAGAAAGAGACAGTGCATCTTAAATTCGATCCTGCTCTTTACTTCATCAGATAAATAGATCTTGACTAGTTTAAGATTTTAAAAATAACTTCAATCATCATAGTTTGTAGTGAAGCAATAAAATTCTCATTGGCTCTTTTCTGATGCTTTAAATTACTGCTAAAAGAGGTACTAGTGGCCATTTTGCATCACGTGATATCAATGGAATGCAATTGAACTTTGCAATTATTAATCAAAGGTCAACCGTGTCATACCTCCTCTGAGTATTGTCCATTTTTAAAGCTTAATAATGTTGTCATCTTCATATTTTTCATGCCAATGATTTTTCAAGAAATAGCTCCAAAAGCACCCTCAATTTTAATTAAATTTTCTGATACAAATTGATGTCCTTATGCTATGTAGAAAGTTTGAGTTGATTCCAACTTCAATTTTTTGAGTTACGGTCATTTTAAGAAGATGCCAAAATTCTGAAAAATACCCAAGGCTATAGCCCATGGTTTATTCCAAAAATTGGCTCCAAAATCACTCCAAATTTTTTATTAGATTTTCTAATACATATTGATGTCCTTATGCTGTGTAGAAAGTTTGAGCTGATTCTGACGTCAATTTTTTTAGTTATGGCCATTTTAAGAAAACACCAAAATTTTATAATAGCCCATGATTTTTCCAAAAAAATGGCTTCAAAATCACTCCTAACTTTTATTACATTTTTTGATATATTGAGTCCTTATGCACTTTGAACAGATTCTGACTACCACTAAATTTTATGAGTTATTTGCTAAAATGAGCAACTTTTTGGAAAAAGGCACAGATTATATAGCCCACGGTTTTTATGGTTTACCAATGAGACATTATGTTCCAATTAAAACTTCTAATGCTTCAAATGAGAGACTATTGAGTTATATTAATATGTTATTACAGGAGTGATTGGGTCCATTATTATGAGAACACTACTAGAGATTTACGTGTCTATTCTGCCTATCCATTGCTAGTCTATCCAACTCATTTTGCTGGTGATAAAGGATGGTACAGTGACACAGGTTAGCCATTACTAGTATATACTATGGTATAACCACAATAGTGGATATGATAAATTTTATTTTTATTTTTAGAGCCACCAATTGAGGTACTGCAGGAGATTTGTAAAAGAAAGTTAAAAGAAGAAGAGGAAGAAGCAGCAAAAGAGGAAAGAGAGAAAGAAAAGGAAAAGACAGAACTGTGATGAACTACAATTATTAGGTGAAATGTACATACATGTATTCAAATGGCATATTACTATTATTGTTAGTATTATTATTTTCAAAATTAACAAGTGCATGTAGATTATAATGTTTTAATATTATGGTCACAGCTAAATATGTGAAGACTCCACTTATACATCTGGTATATAATGTGAGATTGATCACATGATTGACTGTTCACAAAACTGTTACCTTGTCTTGTTACATAGACAAGGCAAAAATATAAGCAAATAGCAACCCATCTATATAATGTCTATTGAGATCATGGTGTACCTGAGCCTAAGCAGTCAAAGCAATGTACAAATCTACAACAGTAGATCTTGATGTACTAATCTATGGTTGTGTCTTTATTGTATAATTATTTATGCTAGCTAGTAAGTATGGCAGGTTCACTGTGAGAGATCATATTGCCTTGAGTTGACTTACCCCCAAATACTGATTGTTAATAATCTAGTATGCAATACAAGCTCAGATTGTGTGGAATATTTATGAGTTCTGTGATGTCCCTACATGTGTCTATTAGAACAAGAGGGAAGTGAGTACAAAAATTCAGTTCTCTGCATATTCTATATAATAATGTAATGATCTGTAATGATGTATTCTTTATTAGTTTGTGTTGATGTCATTCATGGTTGTTGTTGGTTTTTTGTTGTTTAAATATTTTAATTATGAGCAACTAGTAGATCCCACCTCTGATTGATTTTATCAGCAATCCAATTTAATTGTATGACTAAGCTTATTTATTGTGACGAAAAACAATGCAGAATGCTAATATAAAGCTATAGTTTTGATAGTATAGATTGGATTTACCATGGATTTCCTTACAATAACAAAGAAAAGGGGTGGACTGGATTATGGATGACAGGAAGTAACTTGAAAAGTTGACTTGATGTCTGTCATTTCTGAAGTGGACTAAATCAACTCATGGTACATAAAATTTTATTATAATAATAAATATTATTATTGATTGGACTATTACTTTTGATTTACAGGAAAAGGTAAATAGATCTAGTTCTAAAAGCATTATGAGTATTATATACATACTTGTTCATTTTTATTAATCTATGATACTAAAAACACAAACTCTTCTTTACAACACAATAGGAAGTAAGTACTAATCTGTTTTAATTTGAGATACTTGTTTACATGTGTATTTATTGTCCTTTCTATCTTTAATTTCCTTCGTTCATCTGTGATACACAAACTCTTCTTTACAACACAATAGCGAGTAAGTACTAATCTGTTTTCATTTGAGATACTTGTTTACATGTGTATTTATTATCCTTACTATCTTTAATTTCCTTCTTTCATCTGTGATACACAAACTCTTCTTTACAACACAATAGTTGGTAAGTACTAATCTATTTTAATTTGAGATGCTTGTTTACATGTGTATTTATGGTCATTTCTATCTTTAACTTTCTTTGTTCATCTGTGATACACAAACTCTTTTTTCAAATCACAAAAGGAAGTAAGTACTAATCTATTTTAATTTGAGATGCTTGTTTACATGTGTATTTATTGTCCTTTCTATCTTTAATGTCCTTCGTTCATCTTTGATACACAAACTCTTTTTTCAAAACACAATAGTGGGTAAGTACTAATCTATTTTAATTTGAGATGCTTGTTTACATGTGTATTTATTATCCTTTCTATCTTTAATTTCCTTCGTTCATCTGTGATACACAAACTCTGTTTTGCAACACAATAGGAAGTAAGTACTAATCTATTTTAATTTGAGATGCTTGTTTACATTTGTATTTATTGTCCTTTCTATCTTTAATTTCCTTTGTTCATCTGTGATACACAAACCCTTCCTTACAACACAAAAGCGAGTAAGTACTAATCTATTTGAAATGCATTTTAAATGTGTATCTATTGTCCTTTTTATCTTTAATTTCTTCGTTCATTTGTGATACACAAACTCTTCCTTGCAACACAATAGCAAGTAAGTACTAGTCTATTTTAATTTGAGATTCTTGTTTACATGTGTATCTATTGCCCTCTCGTTTTTTAATTTCAAAACTTTGATTTACAACAAAAAGGCAGTAAGTGCTAGTTTATTCACAATTTTGCCATTATTTTTTTAATTTTATTTTCTTGTCAAAAATTTTATTTGCAACATGACAGGAAGTAAGCATATAATGTGAAACAATTGTTATTACTTTGTCATGTGTTTTAGAAAGGTGAGTCTATTATTACTAAGCTAAGGGTCTAGCTGTTTTTATTCAAGATGCTGCATACAGAAGAGCTCTATCAGAAGGAGAGGTGGTGAATGTTGCTTATTCACGTGTTCTTTTTCTGGGTACAGCAGGTGTTGGGAAGAGTAGTTTCAAGAATTCTCTTATGAAGTTACCATGGGATCCTAAGGCTAACAGTACCATCATATCTGATGTCAGCTGTGTTCGTCCCTTTGCTAAGGGATTGCTTAGTGAGCAGTGGGAAGCAGTTACTCATGAAGCTGAAATTGAAGCAATGGTACACTTGTTCTCTTCTGTAAGGAAAGGTGAAAAGCATCGCTCAGTTCTCGTTGATCCTACTGATAATGTCATTACTCCATCAAGCTAGATTATGTCCTTAGGGAAATTAGCAACTTTTCAGTTTTGCCTACACTGGGTCAGTTGGAGCCTCATTTATTGATGCATTTCTGGGATTGTGGGGGTCAACCTGCTTTCCTTGAGATCCTACCAGTTTTTCTCACCTCTCGTACCACATTCCTCCTCCACTTTGATGCCTCTAAAGATCTCAACAGCAAATGGCAGTCAGTTCATCATATTGATGGTATTCGATATGATGGAGAAGAGGTCAATATGTCTACACTTACGTACATGCTCAATTGGATGGCCTGTGTTCACAGTCACCTGATAAAATATGGGGCAGATGGAAGTATTCCTGATTATCCTCGCATGTATTGCATTGGCACTCATGGAGACTTACTAATAGATAGAAAGAAGGAGCAAGTGAGGAGTGAGTTAATATCTCACTATAAAGATAAGGAATATGCCAAGTTAATATCTGATACCCTCATCATTGATAATACATCATCTGGTAAGGGTGAATCAGAAGATCCCAATATTGAGGTAGTGAGAAGTGTCATCATTGATATCACGAGAAATAAGCTAATATTAAAAACCCCAATCAGTTGGGTTCTATTTCGTAAAGTTCTTCAGGCCTTAAAAGAAAATATCGTCAGTATATCTCTTGCTATGGAGGTTGGCCGTGCTTGCAATATTCCTCCAGAAGATTTACCTCTTGTTCTCTTATTCTATCATGATTTGGGATCT